ACAAAAAATTAGCTGGGCGTAGAGGCGCATACCTGTAATCCCAGCTACTAAGGAGGCTGAGGCAGGAGAATCACTTGAACCTGGGAGGCAGAGGTTGCAATGAGCTTAGATTGTACCACTGCACTCTGGCCTGGGGGGCAGAGCAACACCCGGTCTCAAGAAAAAAAAAAAAAAAAAAAAAAAAGAGAAAAACAGAAAAGAAAGGATTACAAGGGAGGTGTAGGACCTGCCCTTCTCCCCTGACCCAGTCCTGCGAAGAAAGGATGTAGGGCTCTTGAGGATAGATTTTAGTTTTTAAACTATTCCTCAGAAAACATGTTTCTAGTCTTACTGTTCAGGCTGCTTCTTTCTGGACACATGTTAGTTTAATATGTTTCCTCTTAATAAATTAGCATGTATCTTCAGGGGGAGGTCCAGGGTTCAGGCCAGTATATTTAAGTGTAATCCGCTCAGAGTTCCCTAGAAGCATTTCCACAATGGGGATGCTAACCATCGAACAGACAAAAATTAGTAGCTTTAGGAATAGCTGCTTCAGTAATGTTACATGCTAAGTTTGGGGTCAATGCTCCGAGATCCTTTTCACAGGAAGTGCTAGGGCCAGAAGTTTAAATGATGGAAGCAGGGCACTGTGGTCTGAAAGCTGGAATAGGACTTGGCTCATTAATGTACACATGTAGAATTTTACATCTCTGTTACCTCACCTTGTTTTTGACCTAGTCTTTCAGTGGCTGGAGCCTTGATTCAGTCTTTTGTTATTGTAGTGGTACTCCCCAGCTTTGTGTCATCTGTGGATGACAGAGGAGTCTTGCTTCTTCATGACAAGTGAAGATTGAACGGGAATAGGTCAAAGTCATGGCTGTGAGAGATTTCTCTCCAGCTTTTCAAGGTGTTCAGCTTTAAATCCATTAACATATTAAACCTGCAAGCCCTCATCTTATCCACAGAATATCATCATAGGTGAGTGTAGATTGGGTTGGGGTGGCCAAGCTGAAGGTGAGCTGTTTTTAAAAAGCTCAGGAGTTTTGGAGAATCCATGGGAAGCAGCAGGAGACTGAAGTCAGGACTCAGGGAAGCCAAGGTTAGGGCCGGCTTTCTTACTGTCTGGGTTTTCCACTCTCCCAAGCTAAAGTCCACAGTAGGCAGCAGGACAGGTGTGGGCAAAGGGCTAACGTCTGGGCACTGGCTCTGTTGAAAAAGATGGGCGGGGGAAGAAGGAAGCTGAAATAGAGAGGGATATGGGAGTCTCATGAGCAGGACAGTCCTCCACGACTACTATGTCTAGACGACAGCTTTTAAATGAGGGCTCTGTTGCAAAGTATAATCCTTGTCAGGGAGTGTGATCAGTAGGTGGTGACAATATGGGAAGAACAGTCATTGGGTCAAGGAATTAGGAGGTGATGGTGTCTTCTGGGGAGTGAGGGCGTCTTACCACTTATGTGAATAAAGGGGATTATGTTGGGAGTTCTCACCAGTCTTCTGTGAAGGACATGGGAGTCACGAAGCAGTTTACTGAGGACTCGGGGGTCACAGGCGGGAGGAGCCGGGCTGGACAGAGTTAGCCTTGCAGTTAGGAGAAGCATGGTCACAAGGAGCAGTTCTAGATGAGGAGAGGTGAGGTTGGAAGATAAGGAGGAAATCACTTTCAGCTGGTATTTCAGGAGCTCCCATTCAGCATCCAGACCTGAAATCCAGGGAATCCACTTCTCAGACCCCTTATTTTTGGGAGACTGAGTCCCCCTGCTCCCTGCCCCTGCAGCGTGTCTCCTTTCTCTCTCCCTTCCTCCCATGTTTCCTTTTGGCCCTAGCCCCTCAAGTGTGGTCTTACCAGTCAGCTCCATTCTGGCCAGGGTGTATGGCTGGCATGGCTCCCTGTTTGGGGCCTCTCCCCCAAATCCTTCCTGGGGCCATGGAGGCGGCTTGGACTCTTACACTTCTGGGCAGAGTAGGGTGGGGCAAAGGTGGGCCGAGGAAGAGGACTCTATCCTGCAAGCAGCAAGAAGAGTGACCATTTAACTGAGTTTCAGGAAGAGACTGCCTGCAAGGGGGAACAGAAGCTTGGGAGGCTTGAGATGCTGGCCAGCCTGGAACTGCCGAAACTCTGACTTCTCTCACATTTCCTTGTGATGAAAGCATATGGTGGGCCAGGCGTGGTGGTGCATGCCTGTAATCCCAGCACTGTGGGAGGCCGAGGCAGGTAGATCACCTGAGGTCAGGAGTTCCAGACCAGCCTGACTAACATGGTGCAACCCTGTCTCTACTAAATAGAAAAAAATTAGCCGGGCGTGGTGGTGCATGCCTGTAATCCGAGCTACTTGGGAGGCTGAGACAGGAGAATTGCTTGTACCTGGGAGGTGGAAGTTGCAGTGAGCCGAGATGGTGCCATTGCACTCCAGCCTGGGCAACAAGAATGAAACTCCGGGCTCCTCAGTGAATCTGACGTGGATTTGGTCCCACCTACCCCTGCTGAGAACAGCAGGACATGGTATGTATACACACATCTTAATTGGCCTTAAATGCTGAGCAACCTTGGTTGTTAGGTCAGAGAAAATCTGGGATGGGGATAGAGAATGAAAGCATTGTGGCTTCAGCAGGGAGAAGGGAGTGAAAAATGGGGTATGGGGCCTGGGCGAGGAACTGGCAAACACGTACAATGTGTTGACGGGTAACTTCTGCGGTGGGGCACGGGGTTGGGCAGGGAACTGCACAAAGCTGTAAGTGGGACCACTGGAGTCAGGATTAAAAGGTGGTATGGGAGAAATTAACCTCTCCTTTCTTCCCTTTCTACCCCTCCACATAAAAGCCTCTGGAGCTTTTCTAAGTCCTGAAAAACTCCGTTATCTGAGGCCAAGAGATGGGCTAACAACAGTCCTGGGACTACCTTCCTGAGGCCACCTGCCCAGGAACGGGCACCTGCTGGGTGATCCCACCCTAGGGGCTGACCTTGCCTTAGGTGCCCCCCAACATATCTGTCTCCTAGCTTGCACCCACCTCCCTGCCCCCTCAGCAGACCCCTTCCGGTTCCTTCACAGGACCCCCCACATGGCTTCCTCCTCCTTTCACAAGTTGTGCAAAGAGGCTTGCACCTGATTCAATATTGGGATTTCCTGTAGGTCTGTCAACATGCGTGGGCCCCCCTCCCATTACCCTCTCCTTGCGCCCTGGCTTGCCCGGCCCAGCTTCCCCACCCGGGGATTCAGAACCTTAAGCTAACAAGGAATGACCAGCTGGGAATGGGGACTGGGGCTGTGTCCACCTTAGTGCTGTGTTCGCTAAGCCCTAAGTGTACCTCCCTCTCTTATTTTCTCCCTGGGCTCTTGTCGCCTTTCCTTAGGGCCAGCCAGGGCTGTGCTGTATTCCACCAAGTAAGTGATCAGTCCCTCAGAAACCAGCACCCCACCCCCTACCCCTGCTCTGCCCTGCTCCTCCCATTCTGGGAAGGCTACACTCTTCTTGACAAAGGTCAGTGCCTGTAGGTTCCAGTTTGCCTGCCCCTCCCCCAGCTGGGAGCCCATTTCTCTTTGCTGTCCTCTCTACCCTCACATAACCCCACATGCTGCTTGCCACTCACCAGGTGGAGCGGGGCTCAAGGACCCAGGTGCACAGTAGGCCGCACTCTGGGGAGCAGATGGGTAGGAAGATGTGGCGGTGGGGTACAGCCCCTCCAACAGCAGCAGGTCACAGGCCTGCCTGGGCCACCTCTGCCCAATCAGAGGAGGGAGCCACCAGACACTGGCGAAGGCCCCCGGAAGTGACGCCTTCTCTTCCCTGGAGCCCCTGCCTGGACCAGGGTCCACTCCTCCACCCACATACACCACAGAGAAGATCTGGATAGGGGGATCCATCTTTTCCTGGAGATGGAGATGGGCAACCTGGGACCTGGAAAGGGACAGGAGCAGAGGTTTTTTTTTTTTTTTTTTCCCCAGGAGGAATCTGGCAGGACATTTGCGTCACTGGGGAAGAGGCACAGAGGTCTTGTTTTAGATTGGGGCACTTTTCAATTCCTGGCTATCCAAATTTCGTTTCCCTGGACATTATACCTGCTGCTGAAATGCAATAGGACACTTGCTTTTCTGCTTTTCTTTCTGTAACCCCCTAGGGAGTCCTGTCTTGTCATTCCCACTTTCCAAGAGGGAATACGGATATTGCCTATAAGACAGAAATCTCCTGTTACGGGGTGGTGTTATGGGGAAAGGGTTTGGATGGGTCAGGAGGACTGTCAGATGTGGGGCAAGTGTGCGTGTGCACGCGTGCACTGGTTCAGCCTTGGCTTAGGTGCTGGGGTCCAGTGGCTTGGACGGCTACACACACAGACCGCTGTGCCCAGGCCCTCCTTTGCCTGTTCTGTCTCCCTTCCATCTCCTACCGTTCCACACATGACAAGAGGAATAACCAGGCCCATGTGGCCCTGTCTTAGGAAAGACAGCTGCTGGACCTCCCCCCAGCAAACACCTCCCTGCTGGCCCCCCTTTTCCTTTGGCCCTAGCTCCAGCTCCTTTGCGCAGTCCTAGTCTCCCCACAGTCTCTGTCCTCAGGGGCTTCCTGGCCTGACCTTGTTCCCATCATCCCCCGCCCCCCAGAACTTCCTCAGGCTCTCTCCCTCGCCAAGGATGGGCATGCCTGCTGAGAAGTGTGGCCTAGATCCTGGAATTTTCCCGCTCAGCCAGACGAGATGTCTCCCAAGATTAGGAAGGAGGGTGCTGGGACGCCTGGGAAGTCGGTGGGTGTGTGCGGGCGGGAGGGACAAGGAGGCAGGCGCCACCACGGAACCAAGATAAAGGAGGTTGGGAGTGGGCTGGAGAGGCAGACGGTCCCTTGGGTGAAGGAAGGGGGTGAGAAAGCAAGAGGGGACATTGGAATGGGTCTGAGGATAGGTTACAATGAGAGGGAGACACCGTCACTCCGCAGAAAGGGGGTAACAGCAGAATGGGGAGCGGCCTCAGAGAGGAGGTAAGGAGGCAGGCTAGGCAGTGAGAGAGGCTGGCGGGGGTCTGAGGGGTGCTGTGGGCCCAGGTAGGGGGGAGATCGGTTGATGGGGCTTTCCTGTACATTGTCATCTGTAAGGACAAGTCTTCATCCTTCGGGCGGGCAGAACGGAACCGGGTCCTCGCTCACTGAGCGGTCCAGGCCTCAGGCCTAGCCTCTGCCCCTCCCTGGCCAGAGTCTCCCGTCCTGGGCTGGCCACCGACCTCCTGGTCCAGCCGCCCTGTGGCCGCCGGCGGGGGGGACCTCCGGGCCCGCCTCTCCTCCCCCTCTTCGCGCCCCCTGGTCCCTCCCCTCCCCCTCCCCCGCCCCTCCCTCCTCCCATGCCCGGTCCCAGCCCCTCCCTCCCCTCCCCCACCCGCGATCCGGGCCGCCGCCGCTGGGCCGGACCCCCCGGGCTCAGCCCGGCCCCTCGCCGAGCCGCCGCCGCCGCCCCGTTTGCTGAGGAGGAGGCCCCCGGCCGGGGCGTCGGGCGCGAGGCATAAAACCGGCCGGAGCCGGCGCCCGGGGCAGTAGAGCCGCGTACGGCCCGGGTCAGCGCCCGCCCGCCGCCCGCGTCCTCCCGGCCGCTCCTCCCGCCCCGCCCGGCCCGGCGCCGACTCTGCGGCCGCCCGACGAGCCCCTCGCGGCACTGCCCCGGCCCCGGCCCCGGCCCCCTCCCGCCGCACCGCCCCCGGCCCGGCCCTCCGCCCTCCGCCCTCCGCCTCCCTCCCTCCGCCCGCTCGGCGCCCTCCTCCCTCCCGCCTCCCCAGCTGTCCCGTTCGCGTCATGCCGAGCCTCCCGGGCCCGCCGGCCCCGCTGCTGCTCCTCGGGCTGCTGCTGCTGGGCTCCCGGCCCGCCCGCTGCGCCGGCCCCGATCCCCCGGCGCTGCCCATTCGTTCCGAGAAGGAGCCGCTGCCCGTCCGGGGAGCGACAGGTAGGTGGGCGCCCGGGGGAGGCGCGGGCGGGAAGTCGGGCTCCGGGCGCAGGTGGCTCGGCGCGGCGGGCGGCCCGGAGGGTGGGCGGGGGCCGAGGGGCGCGGCGGCCGGGACCCGGGACCCGGGACCCGTGGGCAGCCCCCGGGGCGGCACACGGCGCGAGCCGGGCAGCGGCCGCCAGCCAAGCCCGTCCCCGCAGGCTGCTCCTTCGGCGGGAAGGTCTATGCCTTGGACGAGACGTGGCACCCGGACCTAGGGGAGCCCTTCGGGGTGATGCGCTGCGTGCTGTGCGCCTGTGAGGCGGTGAGTGCACCCCGCCGCCGGCCTGGCCCTGGCGGGCGGGTGGGCAGCCCCGGGGTGCGCGGGCGTGGGAGTGGATTCGGAGCTGCTCAGGAGGAGGCCAGTCCGCAGAGGTTGGGGGGCGGTTTCTGGTGGGGGAACGGGAATCGGCCCCTTCAAGACCTAGGTGCTGACTGTGACTGATCGTCCACCCTGCGGGAGGCTCTGTGCCAAATTCGTTTCGTTCCCTGCTCGCCTAACTCCGCTGGTACCCTTCCTAGATAGACAGTATTATTATTCCCATTTTCCAGACAGGGACCGTGAGGCCCAGAGAGGTGAAGCAGCTTGGGTAGGGTCACGAAGCTTGCAAGTGGCAGAGCTGGCGGACTCTGCGGGACATCCTTGCCCGGGGGTCTCACCAGCTGGCATCTTGCACTCACTTGGTTTTCCCGCCTTTTCCGGGAGCAGCCTCAGTGGGGTCGCCGTACCAGGGGCCCTGGCAGGGTCAGCTGCAAGAACATCAAACCAGAATGCCCGACCCTGGCCTGTGGGCAGCCGCGCCAGCTGCCGGGACACTGCTGCCAGACCTGCCCCCAGGGTAAAGCTTGCTCCGCCCTGCAGGGAGGGCTGCGGTAGGTCCCGGGCCACTTGGACGGGGCGGCAGACTGGCCCTTACCACGTGCCCGCTGAAGTCCGTGTTTCCCTCCCGCCCCCCCACCCCAAACCCCTCCTCCCACCTCTCCGCAGAGCGCAGCAGTTCGGAGCGGCAGCCCAGCGGCCTGTCCTTCGAGTATCCACGGGACCCGGAGCATCGCAGTTATAGCGACCATGGAGAGCCAGGCACTGAGGAGCGGGCCCGTGGTGACGGCCACACGGGTAGGGGGCTGGCGGACATTGGGCTTGTGGTTGAGGATGGGCCACCAAAGCAGCGTTTGACAGTGCTCAGGCCATCTTCCTCCCATCCCAGACTTCGTGGCGCTGCTGACAGGGCCAAGGTCGCAGGCGGTAGCACGAGCCCGAATCTCGCTGCTGCGCTCTAGCCTCCGCTTCTCCATCTCCTACAGGCGGTGAGAAAGGGCAAGGAGCAAGGAGGGGTCAGCTGCCGGGCCGGAGGGAAACTGGGAGAGCTGGAAGGAGCTGCTTTTGACTCTGACTGGCCTCACCCGACCTCTCATTCCCAGGCTGGACCGCCCCACCAGGGTCCGCTTCTCAGACTCCAATGGCAGTGTCCTGTTTGAGCACCCTGCAGCCCCCACCCAAGATGGCCTGGTGAGATGATGCCATTTGTGAGCACTGGTCCAGTCTGGGCACTGTGCTAATAGCATGCTCCGCATTGCCTCCTGTGGTCCTCACCACAGCCCCGTGAGAGGAAGGCACTGACCGGATGATGCCATTTTACAGACGGGGGTACTGAGGCTTAGTAGGAGGGTGGGATTTGTTGAAGTACACAGCTAGTAAGTGGTGCAGCCAGGGCTGGAACCCAAGCATCTGGCTCCAGGGTTCTTTCCTAAGCTTCCTAGGGCACCCTGGAGGCTCCTTCCCATCTTCCTTTTTCACCAGGCCTGGGCCTGCTAACTGGCCTAGCCTGTGCAGTGTCTGAGCGGAGGGCCCTCTTGTCTCTGCTCCAGGTCTGTGGGGTGTGGCGGGCAGTGCCTCGGTTGTCTCTGCGGCTCCTTAGGGCGGAACAGCTGCACGTGGCACTTGTGACACTCACACACCCTTCAGGGGAGGTCTGGGGGCCTCTCCTCCGGCACCGAGCTCTGGCTGCAGGTAGGGAGCACAGAGCCCCGGGTGTGGAGCTGAGTCTTCTGTCCCCAGGAAAGGGGAGGGAGGTTTCTGACAGGCTCTTGTCATCCTCCTTTCCCCAGAGACCTTCAGTGCCATCCTCACTCTAGAAGGCCCCCCACAGCAGGGCGTAGGGGGCATCACTCTGCTCACTCTCAGTGATACAGAGGACTCCTTGCACTTTTTGCTGCTCTTCCGAGGGCTGCTGGAACCCAGAAGTGGGGGTAAGTGGGATGGGGGCAAAACATGTGAGAAGGTTAGGGAGAGCACCTGTCTCAGAAAGGCCCACATGTGCGGCCTTGCAGGACGAACCCAGTTTCCCTTGAGGCTCCAGATTCTACACCAGGGGCAGCTACTTCGAGAGCTTCAGGCCAATGTCTCAGCCCAGGTGAGTGGGGACCTGGCTCTGGCCACCACTTGCTTTGGCCTCTTGCTATTGCTCATCAACTCTGCTCTGTTCCCAGGACCCAGGCTTTGCTGAGGTACTGCCCACCCTGACAGTCCAGGAGTTGGACTGGCTGGCGCTGGGGGAGCTGCAGATGGCCCTGGAGAGGGCAGGCAGGCCAGGGCTGCGCATCAGCGGGCACATTGCTGCCAGGAAGAGCTGCGACGGTGAGGCAGGGTGGGGCCTGGTGCCCTGGGCATGTGCAACTGAGAGGCATAGAAATGTGCCAGAGAGGGGTCAAAGTGGGCATGGGAGTGATCCTGAGGACTGGGGGTGTAAGCAGCCATGGGGTAAGCCTAGCCTCAACTGTCTCTTGCCCCTCCGTAGCCCTGCAAAGTGTCCTTTGTGGGGCTGATGCCCTGATCCCAGTCCAGACGGGTGCTGCCGGCTCAGCCAGCCTCACGCTGCTAGGAAATGGCTCCCTGATCTACCAGGTAAGTGTCAGGGGCTGCAGAAGA